CACCAGCATCCTTATATTTCACATTTTGGAAACTACCAAAATGCAGGTACCGGATTTTACAGAGATAAGAACTAAAGGCAGGTGAGAGAGAGGAACACAGATTCCTCAAGACACCAGGAAACAGATCAAGTACCAGATCCACACACTGGGCTGTCATTCTTGTCTCATTTTATGCCTAGCACTTCCCGCTCCCATTCCCTTTCCCGGTTCTCCTCTTCGATTTGCCGCTCAGCCTGGGTGCAAATCCTCAGCAGCAGCAAGCATAGGATTTGGTGAAGCCGCATGAAGATGTACCAGTTGTTGTTGACATAGAAGAGGTTGTACACTTCATCCCCCCTCCGCCCCTCCCCCAGGTAGCTTCTGGGCGCTGTGTTGCTGAACAGCAGCTTGGCTTTAGGGAGGCTGCCCCCAACTCCGTTGTGCTTTTTCGCAGCCCCAGTGGCTTCATCCACATCCATTTCCTCCTCCACGTCTGAGAGCTCGCACCAGCAACTCTTGATTTTGTACTTGTCCTCTTTCTGAATTCCTGTCTGCTGTTTCACGTGGTGGATGATAAAGAGAAGCAGCATCCTCCAGGATTTGCCTGTCCTCATAGGCTAGTGACAGGTGTGGGCCTATGGATATTCCGGCATTATCTTCTGATGCCTGCTCTTGCCTCTGAGGGAGGAAGACAAAATACACAGAGCATGGGTGAGTATCACATATGCAACTTACCACGTCTTTAAGACCCTTGTACAAAGCACTACCAGTGAACTGGATTTCCTCTTTCATTACAACCCCAAACCCTACGGGGGAAGGGCCAGAGTTCACATTATCCATCACAACAACCCAAGTTCTGGTGTCAAGGGCCTACACATATTGCATACAGGGCCTTGGTGTCATTCTGTTTGAAGCTGATGCCCTGGTGATCCAGGGATTTCAGGTAATGTTTCTCATTCTGCTCCCTCCAGACCTTGTTGAATCCTCTCTGGGCTTCTCGCCACTCTTCCTCTTTCATCTTGAGTCTTAGCAGCAACAAAAAACAAAACAGGAGCGAAGAGATACTAAGATACCACATTGATGGGTGTAGGATAAAAACCTAGACCACACAAGCTGGAGGCAGTAAGGCTTCTGCTCAGTGCCCATTGCCCACTGAAACAGCAGAAAGTTTCAGAAGGAGTTCAAATGAGGTACAACATGCATAGCAAAATTCTCCAGGAATGCCCATGAATCTTTAGATTGGCTTTGCGGCTATGTTATTTTACAGAAGGTTAAATAGGCCACAAATGCATGGCTACACCCCACTAACCAGGGTGATGAGGGCATTCAACAGAACATAAACCAAACTTCCCCACCCCCCGCCTGTATACCTCCTACAGAGTCCCAGGACTGGGTCTGGGTTCACTGTCAATATCCCAGAATTCTGCTTTGTGAGGAGTTACAAACAACAGAAATCTCAGCTGCTGTAACCAGCTGGGGAACCAGAGAGTCCCTGGTATCTGTGACATCCCACAATTTATTTAATACATGGATTTAACCACTTGCCAGACATTTCAGAGCTCTCAAACTTCTCTGATACTTGTTATGGTCCTGTAACTAGATATTCTTTTCACCCCATGCAATACAGGCATACACAAAACTCTGAACCTCTCAGCCAGCTTATACCTAGCCTAGAAGAAAGAAGTCAATTCTGTCACTTCACAAAGAGTGCACTGTAACCAAGTCGATCATGTTTAAAGGAAAAACTACACAAGTTGGGAATCAGACATCCCTCCACCTCTCACATCTTGACATAATGGAAAAGCCAGCGCTCTCTTCACTGAGGATTAAGGAATCACAATTTACATCTAGGCAGCCTAGATACTTTTTATGAGACATGGGAACTTTGCAGAGATATAATTGCTGAACATTCCAGGAGTCTAGAAGCACACAGATCCCAGAAGTACCTCTTACTTGGCAGTTCTTTCTCAAACCTGTATCCCTCCTCTAATCTAGTTTTTATACCAAGTCCATATCCTGGTGTCTAAGACCACCTCCTCACAATCTTACCCCTCTCCTTTCATCTCTCGTTTCTTTACGTCTAGTTCTCACATTATGCCCTGCCTCAGTAGAGAACCTGCTGGAGACTGCAGAGGTCCTCAGCGTGATGCAACATAAAAGCAAGTCCTTCCAGACAGGAGTTCTCTTTCTGCATTTGTATAACGGGGCCCCGATTCTGACGGGGACATTAGGGAGCCACCATAATAAAGATCTGACAATCCGCAACTACATCGCTAAAGGGAATTACTTTTATTTCTAATTATCCTTTGTTCTACATTGTTAGAGATGTATCTGTAAAGTGGAAAAGTATGATGACACGGTTCCATCAAAACGCTGTTGTAGCCTCTTGCTGTGTAAATCCAGAACCAGCCAGGAGGACAGAGAAGCGATAAAGAACACAAAGGTTAGTTTCCATTCATTTATGGACTATCCCCTTCAGCCAGTTTAGTAGGGCACATTCTGTACATTCTTTGAATAGTTCAATTTCCATCTTCTCTTTACAGCTCATCTGTCCAGATCACTGACCATCCTCTACAAGGAACTGGGTGGAAGACAGCACTAAAACGCAGGAGTGACACATGGTGACCACTAGGGGGCTCGGCTCTTACTCCGCTGTACCATCGCTACCTTCAAGGATAAAAAAAGGCAGAGCTAGGGAAGTTCTGAAAGTCTTGTGCTAAGGGTCTAAGACACAAGAGAAAAAGTCCTACACAGGTGGTACTAGAGAAGAGTACTTCCTTTCATCAATTTTACATTTCCTGCCTTTCATTTTCACATTTTCATATCCCCTTGTCTGTATATGAAAAGGTAAATAGCAGCAGCAATCATATTTTGGATACCTCTATAAAAACACCTCGGATACCACCATCTCTCAAACCGAAATAGTCTCATTACCATCAATCACTTCTC